TTCCTTCCATTTTTCACGGATTTTACGTATGGGACAGAAAGAACCGTAGAACTGTCGGGTTGAAGTAGGAACGGAGATTAAAATCGTTTAGAGACCCTAAAGAACGTAATTTTGGCGCCCCCATATACATGCAGTGACTGGCAAAAGATTCTGGTCAGATCAACTTTTCCTTTGGGAAACCTTTTTGGGAGTGAAAGTAATTTTTATGGATAGTACTTGTTGTATAGAGTTTAAGGATAACAATTTTGAGTTTAGGAATCTTTTCCTTGAGAAGTTATGAGGCGAAAAAGGTTGCGACATCTTCTAGCTTGTTCTACACGATTATTGTCCAGGCGTTATACCCGTCACTGGGGGACGTGGAACCTGTCAAACTTTTGTTGTCGAGGCTCGGGCTTTGGGCAAAAAACGAATTAAGGAGGGTGTGAAGCATTCCTCCCTACAGGATTATTGTCCCGCTGCGAACCCAAGTTTGGGACAGTAATCGAGAGGAGTCTATATTTTATAACCTTTTTTGTGACATTACGGTGATTGTTGCATATGATTGATTGTTCATCTCAAAGAAGAAGAAGCGATAAAAATAATACACGTGTACCCGCCTGCTTCGACTTTTCTTGCCGCCTAGCTTGAATAATGGGGATACACTCAGTACTGTACAATAGGGGGACGAATATGTATTCGTAAGATAAGAACGTGGGAATGAACACAGCTACAGTTCCGTGTATCATTAATTATACCCAGAGTATCGTTCCCAATTTCTAAGAACAGTTATTTAAATAAAACTACTAAAAAAAAAAAAACAAATCAAACTTAATAAAACAGAAATACTCACAGAAGGTTCGAATTTATTCGGCCAGGGTTCGAATATACTTAAAATTATTGCTTTCCTTTTTCGAAGTATCTATGAAACGTTCGAAACTAGGATCCAGTTACATTCAAATCTAGGTATTTCTGATATACTTTATCCCATCTCTAGTCGTTGGTTCTCGGGTCGGTACTTCCTTCCGAAGGCGAGGAAGAAGATGATCGATCTATTTCGAGGATGGCATGGCGAGGACAGGAATATTGATGGCCCGACGCGAGAATAGCCGGGGTCTTTTTAAGGCGTGCGCGTCGACGACGTGAAAAAATGTCATACGAGCCTGGACACGCCGCTGCGCGAGCGGGAACGTGAACGGGGGGGAGAAAGGGGCTGTCTCGATATCGATTTCGTGAGCCGCGAATCGATATCCGTGGCTCGGATAACGGACACCAGACCGCGAATCACTGACTCGGTCACGGGGCGTTCGTCACCGTCGTCGTGAAAGTCTTTCTTTTCGACGTGATACGGGATAAGATTGCGATCCCGGCGAAGTGTCTGCTCGCGTGTCGTTATCGAGACTAACCCTCCGTTGATAATTCGTGATTCAAACTAATCAAACATCCTTCGAACTTCTGACGAAATAATCAAACAGTTCGAACGATGTTCGATACGTTCAAACGAGGGAACAGTGATTGAAGAAACGTCCAAACGTGTTTGGACGTATTGCGTTTGGATAAGCGTTCAAACATGTTTGAACGTCTTGTATTTGGAAATAGCATCTAAACAGGTTTGAGCGTCTTATGTTTGGGAACAGTGTCCAAACATCTTCGAAGGTGTTATGTTTGAAAGTGTCTAAACACGTTTGGACAGTTTGTTCGCGGATCCATCTGTAGTCGTGATATTCCGAATATGAATGAATCGTTTATCTTAATCATATACGACACGCGTGATTCGATTATAATATAGTATACAGGGTGACTCATATAATTGGCATCTGCTACTGACTGATTCATTATTACGTAGAATTTCATGAATTAGGTAAACAAAGTTACACTAGCGCCGTCTCGCTCGAATCATTGGACTTCCTCATACGGTATAGATTGGGAAATACATATTTCACTCCATAAACTGAAAATAGAACATTCTTCATCCATGACACTTTTCTCGCGACAGCATATCTTTCTGACGATTTAAATCTGTCGGCTTACAAAAGTGTCACGGTAAGATATTCGAGGTTTCCTATTCGCAAGGCACCTGGTGAACAAACAAATGCTTAACTGGATCACGTTCGCACGAAAAATCAAGAGAGTCCCGGATGAACGTTTCGATTCGGCATTGTCAGCGGACACAAGGAAACCGCGTGCAATTCGGTGTACCGTATTATACGGCTGGCGTTCGATCATCGAGGCGTCAACATCCGTCCGGCTGGGATCAACGTAGGGCTTTCGAAACAGGAAATTCGTTACGCGGAAACGAGGTCCGCAATCTGAAAGGCTTTTGGAGAGATGATGGCTCAGCCGAGAAAAAAAAACACAGGCGACGAGTGTGCCGCCTGGTGGAAGAATCGGGGCGACATGGCGCCCGATCGCGACGGATCCATACCGAAAAAATAAAAAAAAAAATCGTCAACAGCGGATCCCAGGAGAAACCCAATTTCGAGGGTTGGCACACACACGCGACATTTCAAAAAAACTGTGCTGGCACACGCTTACCATCCCCCCTAAAAGTGCTCGTTTTGAGGCATTCAACTACCACCAGCCTGTACTCCCCCGTGTAAACGTGACCCGATGTCAATGGGCGCATTCATTCGCACCTGACCGCCTCCCCTGGCGCCCCGTCTATGAATAACTTGAAGGTAATTTTCTTCTCGCTGGAGAACGGCCACCGAGTGGCTCCGTTTCACTCGCTCGGACACTTCCTTGCTCGTTTTAAAAATAACGAAACAGGACTGAATGTACAATCTCTGGCCAAAAAATTAGGGCTACTCGTAATTTTCAAATTTTTCGTGGTAATCGTCTTTTTTAAATAAAAAGTAGAATAATAAAAAAAATAGGGGAAAATCATCATTGTTTATACGTACTCGGTTACAGAAATGTGAAAAATAAATATTTAGTGAATTAATTAGCGAAAAAGTGCACCACAACAAGAGCATAATTCGGATAGAAAAGCGACGAGGTCTTCCCCCCAGAACACAGAGAGTGGTTGGGAAACGCTGGGATAGAAGCGAGGCGGTGCATCGCGAGGACTGGAAAATGCATTGTTTAGGCGGCACTCACACCAACCGACCGTGGTGGGTGTGTCACGAGCATGAAATACCGGTGAAATGACTACGAAGAAACACGAACTCCGCTGCGAAAGACTGAGTAAAAGATTCTAGTAAACCAAAGATGGGCAAATTCATTACCTAGGTAATGACTTTTGAATAACGATTAAAGGATACAAATCATTAAAACGTGGCAATTAAAATTTTTATAATCAAATAATGCTTCTCGAATGAGTCAAAATTTGGCAAACAATTACACTGTTCGACAATAAGCGTCTCAGATAGATCTTTATGAGCTAAATACGAATTCACAAACCGTTTCTTTTCATCTGGTCCAGTTTTTGAAAAAATTAAATTTGAAAAAAATTGCAAATTCTCAAATTTGGAGCTGCGTTGTGATTTTACAGTAATAGTTATTTTTACACGAATTAATTCTCTGGAGTCTTGCGAACAAAATGATATATTTTATCTCATTGACTGTTCACAGCTCAGAACGATGGAGTAGATACAGCTTTTCACTATTTATTATTCGAATAAAATTGTGCCCAACTCTGTGCAACAAATCGCAGTCCAGTTGTCTATTCCATTCGTTTGATTAGTTTCTAGGTTATTTGTACCGATTTCGAGACAACGATTACCCAATTCAAGGCCCAAAACAGAGTGTCGCCCCTTCGATCGGCATACCGATGTCCGAACAAGTATAAAAACGAGTACGAAACAGACAAGGTTCAAGGATCTCGTTGAACTCATAATCCGAAGGAGCTCTCCTCGATCGTCCAGCGATAAAATTCCCGAATAAAAACTCAGCCGAGGAGTCCCCGTGGCCTCGCATTATACAGTATTCCATTAGCGTTATTATCCTTATTGCGTTATAATCGCGGAGCCTGCCAACCGAGCAGCGGAGTAGATTAATCCTCCACTCTGAAATTCTATTAAAAACGGTCGTTGGGCCCTCTGGACGGTCGCCTCGGCTCCCTAGAGGTCGACTATGCTAAATTATGTTTCCCTCGATAACAGAGATTCCTGACGGTCCCGCACGTTACCAAAGACGCTTCACGCGACATCTAACGGTCACTTGCGGAATATCCGTGCACACACATATGGGGAAACCAATAGGCGGGGTCCCTAGCGTGCGGGTAACTGCGAGATCTACATACCTACGATCCTTTTCGAACCAGGATCGAATCAACGATGTTCGATCTGACGCGTAACTTCCGGGAAAAGTATAATCAAGGCGATAATTATTGCAGCTAGAGGATTAGAATCGGTAGCGAGAAGAGTTCAGAGTGATCGCTTCGATTTGAAGGATCTGTTATTTTCTAGGGGAAAAAGCAGTGCAGGAGAAGGGCCTCCTATCAGTTGGTCTCTGGAATCAACATTCGATTTAAAATTTATTTCGGTACTTGAAATAAATTTACCAAGTCGTAGGAGGCCTTTTTCCTACGCCACATTTTCCCCTAGCGGAAGCTGAATGATTTAAGTACCGTAACAAAAATTTTCCGTAAAATCAATATCGTAGACAAGACCAACAGGCCTCTATTAACTAAATAGCATCATATATTTTCGATTCTTAATAACCTTTAAAAAAAATGAAATAACGCGTGTCTGACTACATACTGCCTTTTTCACTGTGGCAGCCCACGTGGACCCAACGAATATTCCCAGAAAAGTGGCGCCAAATTCAAACGAAGTATCCTAACCCTTACAATATCGTGAGTACACACTGCCCAAAAATCGAGGATCTACGTGTGAACGCAGCTCGCGTAAATTCTCCTAAAATCTAATAGAACAGGTCTATATACCGTCTATCGATCAAATTGACGGTAAAACCCTTACGAATCTTCCCACGCCCCAAACGGAACCGACACGACGGGCGACAAAGTGTGCCCCGAAGGAGAAGGTGTATGTACGTAAAGTGAGAATTTCGGTACTACTCGCCTGCAAATGGGTTTCTGGTCGTCACGTTCGTCCGGTTGGTTCAGGAAATTGCCGTCGTTCACCGCCGAAGACGTCGATCCCCGCGGCGACCTTGGCCCGCCCTCCGGTTCCCCGATCAGCACCTCCGTTTGCCCATTCTGGAATGGACTGCTCGCGCGTCGTTCCCCGGCTCTTCCGCCTTGGACCGGTGTCTGGAACCGATGAATCACACGGGGATTGGTCCAAACACGATTCGTCCCACTGAACAACTCCCATCCGTCGCGAATGAACCAGCGAACAAACGTGCTGTTCCTTCACATTGAACCGCCCGAGGCGACGATTCTTCCCGACGATCGAAACTTTAACACGACCGAACCGTGAATCTGCCGTAATTCCCGAGGTGACATTTTCGTTGATTTATCGTAAAACTTCGCCTGGTCGTCGCCACGGGGCCGCGGGTATTAATTACGGAGGAATGAAGTAGGCACCGCGGTAATATACCGGACAACGAATCGCGATTCCGGGAAATGTTTGCGCTTGCTTCACGCTCAAGCAATCGCGCCGACGCCGCTACGGTTTACATAAGCGGCGAAGGAGAAATCATTTTTATCGCGGAAGGTGCAAAGAGATAGACACACGGGAGCCTTACTTTCAAGGATATTAACACTTCGATGTTGGATGAAACATGTCGTTTCGAGAATAAAAGCTGAGAGCGATTTACGTAAGTACGGTAAAATTTGAATTAGTGTACCTATAGTACCAAGTTTTACCATAGTACGTTTTTCTTGCATAAGGACTAGAATGGTAAAGAACAGTAAAAAATCGCTGTTCTTATATGCAAAGATTGACAAATAAAAGTTAAGTAATAGTTGTGAAACATTTTTAGTGATGAAGGGAAATTGACGTTTTCCCAGAGGGATAATAGGAAGTCGTTCCGACTAACCAAAAGATTCGTTTCCTCGGGGCAGCTCTGCTGCTTCTCGAGCGCGTCCTTCCCGTCCTTCGAGTCCTTTCGGAGGCTCTTCGGGATCGTGCCGTTGCTGAGCTTCGCGGCGATGGCGTTCGAGCACGGCTCCCTGGGGGACAGAAACGGACGGACACACCTTAACGTGGCTAAATTTTCGGACGTTCGTGACAATAATCGGTGTTCATCTGAACTTTACTGTCGCGCTCTACTCCTGCAACTTGTTTTCAGTGACTATCATTGCAGTCGATGTAATAAGGTACGGTCTATCATACATTTTTGCCCTTTAAAATATTACAGTAAATCGTCGATAATTGTTCAAAGGTTTCTTAGCACTGACAAGATGAAAACCAGGTGTAACGCTAATGTTTTTAATGTGGTTTAGCACAGTAATAGAGCCTGGTATTCTGCAGCCAATGATACTTGTTTCAAATGCGTATGTTTATGAAACATTTAATGTTCAGTGACAAGAAGCCTTCGAACACTCATCGATGATTTACTGTCTAATCATCTTTAAAACGGTTAGATTAATCGGATGTCCAGGTAGACTGCACCTTCGGACGATTGGCGTGGCACATTCGCTTCTGACACGCCGATGGTCCCACCGGAACAAACACAACGCTGGTATGCGCGGTTGCAACGCGCGATGGGGTATCAATCACGCCAATCGCTATTCCTCGCATCCGGCCTGTAATTGCACTTCCCATCGGTTTGCACCGCGAATTTTTCGCGTTTCACCGTACGGTTTGCAAACAATAGTCGATTCCATTAGCGTGGAACGTTTTAAGACGGTCACACTCTCGCCGGTCATCGGTGACCGTCATGGCAATCAACACGCTAAAACCCTTCATTGCCCTAACTTTGACATTACGTAGATACTAGTTTTACCATTATTCAACATCATTTAAAAAAATAGTTTAATACATTGAATTTGATGAATGAATTGTGAATTAACTAAACTTTATTCATCGATTCGACATATTAAATAATGAATACAAATAAAGACTTATACTTTCGTTGAATTAATACAAAAAATTAATTTCTTAAAGTGCCAGTAATGGGGTCTCTTGTCCTATTTCCAATCAAAAAAAAAAAATAGCTCTGCAATTAATGTTCCTGGAAACGAGAGAATAATTCCTGGCCAACGGACCAGTTGAACGCTTCGTGGATAGAGGTCGTCGGGCGCGAAAAGAGCTCAAAGAACAGTCAAGAATGAAATGGCACTTACTTGTCGGCGAGCGTCACGGTAATTTGGTTGCCAGTCACATTTTTGCCCGCGCTTTCCCCGCTCGTGGACGCGGCTGCGGCGGCGGCGGACTCGTTGATCTGCACAGAACACCGAGGGCACACGAAACGATCAGAGACTGAGCAGCAGCGGCATTTGGCAAACGGTCGCGCTTGGGGACAAAGGGATGGGATCCACCACCGGCCGAGGAAAAAGACTCATGATCGATGTACTCTTTCATCGCCGGTTCCCGCGCCTTGCACCGACCGACATAACACATATGCACCGAAAAAGTAGCAAGTATAGAGAGGCAGACAGATAGAGAGGAAAATATCAGAGGAAAACGTTTTCTTTTTTTTTTTTCGAGCACAACCTGTGGAATACGTCGCCAGAGTGGACTGTTTCAGAAATCCAGCGGGACTGAAGTCGAAGGTGGTGGGTGCGAAATGTTTATTATTTTTTTAACACTAGAACTACCGACGATAAACGTGAAAAATTTTGGAAAATTTAGAATTTTAATTTCTTCACTTTTATATCGTAATAAAAGGTGCAAAAGATCTGAGAAAATGTATTGTCATAAGATATCCAATTTTAGGTCTGAAGCGCCTTTAAGCCGTCTTCAAGGCATCATTGAGCGTTATCTGCTATCCGAGATTTGATCCCGTCCCTACGTGTAAGCAGCCTCCTTGACGATCTTCCTTCCCCCGACCGACCGATCCTTGCCGTCCTCACTAAGAAATGCCATCGATTTGCTCATCAGAATGTCCGATAGATCACTGCGCACGCCGACAGAATAGGAACTAATTGTATTGAATACAATGGATAAGCGATCGACAGTTTACTTCGTCGTGAGTCTTGTCATTGTCCTTTACGAGGAACTCGAGAGTCGTTCGAATCCTCACGCGCGAATCGATCGATCGATCGAGGTTGCATCAAGTCCCCAGATAACACGTGATGCCCAATGACGCCTTGAAGACGGCTTAAAAACGCCTTAGACCTGAAATAGCCGTAAAATGGGCGTTTTTAAGGCGTCATGTGCTATTTGGAACGTTTATCAATTTTATCATTTGATAAGTGGACCTCTCATCGACAGATCAGACCTGCAAAGATGTCTTATACAGAATTGATAAAAAAAATCTTCGTGCATCCTTTGAAACTGAATAACTTCAAGGTGGTTAGTCGATCGGTTACGAGATACTGGGTGTCTCAAAAGGGCGTTTTGTAAAGTGATTTGAAACAGTTTTTTCCTCATAGAAAATATTCTCCGAGGCTTTGTTAACGAGATATCAACGGAAAACTCCGATGAATCGGTTACCAACCGATTCGCGTGTTTCCACGGGATGATTACGTAAAACGTTGTTGATCTTAAAGTGAAAGGCCAATGGAGAGGTCTTCTTCTTACGAACCGATCGAGAGACGCCTCTGGAAAAGCTAGGCTTCTAAAGCCGCGTTTACACTAGGCAACTTTTGGTCGATCGACGTGAACTCGTTCAAAGTCGCCCGTGTAAACAGGATTTGAACCAAGTCGAAGCGACTTTTAGTCGACCGTTGGTGTACTTTTGGTTGAACAACCCGATGGTTTCAACTGCAGTTGACCGTGTAAACACACCGTGAAATCGTCGTTGACGAGCGACTGAAAGATCGCTCTGAGACGGACGGAAATGTCGAAATTAGATTGGAATTCGCAGAATGTAAATACATTTACAGACAGAAGTAATACATACAAGCATTTAAATTTACAAAAAACCGGATAAATAATAAAAGAAATGGATCTAGATGGATAAACCGTTGCTAATGTGAATGACAAAATTAAATCCATACGGATAATTTACTGCCGATTATTAATTTACTCTAACTCACCAACGATGTTTTTTTTTCTGTTAATTTTCCCAATGACGCGTTAAAGATGGCTTAAAGTCGTCTTAGACCTAAAATGGACGTCTTCAAGGCGTCATATCTGAGTTATTAACCAGCTTAACAGATAAAAAAAGTCAGACGACGAAGCCTTCTATAGTGTAAACCTTTTAGTCGAGCACGATTTCAAGTCAATCGACTCGATTGGCCTATCAAAAGTTGCCTAGTGTAAACGCCGCTTAACAGATCGTCGCTGGACTTGCTTACCTCTTGGTGCAGGATCGCTTGAATATCGCGGGGCTGGATCTTCCAATGGGACGCTAGCCTCTGAAGCCTTTCTTCGGCCCGCCTGAAACCAACAAACGTGTCCTAACGTTATGAATGCTCATTGGGGACTGACTTAAGCCTGGTGTAAACAGCTAAAAATGAACGAATTTATGGGAATTTATTGCGAAGAATATATTAAACCAATCTCTTTGAAACTTTGAGAATATTTTACTATACAATTGAACTTATATTTATGTTTGTATGTAATCTATAGACTAAATAAAATCATGTTTCCTTTTAGCTGTTGCTTTTTCCGTTTAGATACGGTGTTACAATCTCTCTTGGGTAGGGACAAAAATTAACAAACGAGTGATTTTAAAGAAAGTCTTATTTTAAAAAGCTAGTATAATATATTCTAAGTATTAAAGTCTGTTTCTCGTCATTTAATAATTTTCCCAATAATTCTACAGAATTTAAAAGCTACAGACTGAAAAAGACAAACTGTTACGTTTGTCCCTGATCACCTTTATTTACCATAATATACAGAAACCTACGATCATGTAAATAGAAATGTGTCACTATCGATAAAATAAGAAACACCAGACCAGCAAATTATATTATAATATAAACAATATATTACAATGAATAGGATAATTACCTTTCGACAGCGATGACCCAAGCTTTCCGCACCCGACCAGCCTTGAAGCCGTCCAACTCTGCACATGGAACAACATCGAACTAAATTAATCGCACAGAATCGTATGCGCATAACAATCTTGTATACACAATCAGAACAATAAAAACACCCTCGAAAAACATCGATCAATCTCCTTCCCATTTCGAACCTCTGCCGTTCCCAACGGAACCGCCATTCTCCTCCTCCTCCTCCTCATCGTCTATGAACTTAATGGCGGACAAATCGAAATGTTTCGCGACGTCGTCCACGTCCCGTTCCTCGTCGTCGGTCATAAATTCGATGGATTTCGACGGATCCTCGTCCACGGACTCGTCGACGACGAACGTTTGACCGTCGATCCCCGTACGGGACGAGCAACCGCACAGGATCATCTTACGGAAGAACCTCGGCATCCTATCGCGAGGCGTCCCCAGACGTCACTGTTTATCCAAACGTTCCTTGTACCCTTCGATCGATCTCATGTCCACGGGACAGAAACGGTCGATGGATACTGTGGTCCACGGGACAGAAACGGTCGATCGATACTGTGGTCCACGGGACAGAAACGGTCGATCGATACTGTGGTCCACGGGACAGAAACGGTCGATCGATACTGTGGTCCACGGGACAGAAACGGTCGATCGATACTGTGGTCCACGGGACAGAAACGGTCGATTGATACTGTAGTACACGGGACAGAAACGGTCGATCGATACTATAGTACACGGGGCAGAAACGGTCGATCGATTCCGTGGTACACGGGACAGAAACGGTCGATCGATACTGTAGTACACGGGACAGAAACGGTCGATCGATTCCGTGGTACACGGGACAAAAACGGTCGATCGATTCCGTGGTACACGGGACAGAAACGGTCGGTCGATCTCGTGGTACACGGGACAGAAACGGTCACGTTTCGACAACAAACTGTCACGATTGAAGCTTCACGGAATGGAACGTTCTTCGGCGATCTCGCGACCAAACTTTTCGCGTAAACTATCACGATATTCCACTGTCTCAATCCCTCTAGAAATCACTGTAGAAACTGTGTCGTGCACAAAGAGAGTTACGGGGTGGTGCAGTGCACTCGGAAAAAGCTGTTGGCGAAACTCTGTCCGAAACAACGACGACAAGGAGGAGTAAGACGGTACACAAGATGTTCGCGCGCGCACGTGTCGCCGGGACCATAGAAAATAAACTCTCGAACCGGGGCCAGGAATGGATGGCACGACGACGCGCCTCCAACCAAGGGGTTTATATTTGGAACCGCTC